TACATACGAACTGTTTCGTGCCTAAATGTTGACAAAATACGATGGCTTGAAGCGTACTACGTGACTATAAGACCAGCCCGTTTCGTTAATTATGTTGTTTTATGTGTCAATTAATGGTCTGACACTACCTACTTAGAGTAACGCCCTTAGGCGTCCTTATTGCGAGACTATGGGCCTGGTTTTTTGACGCACGGCTGTAAAGTGACTGCAGTGGCCGTCAAATTCAGCATTATCGATTTTTATATCGATTTTCCAACCTAGAAGTCGGGCTGCCGAATTTCGTGGCGTATTTGTGCATTAGACGCCATAACTGACCCAAGCAGGAGAGTTGACGCTTGCCCATGTCTATCAACACTATCAAAGCTCGTCAAATTTTTGACAGCCGAGGGAACCCTACGGTGGAAGTTGACCTTATTACAGACAAGGGTCTCTTCCGGGCAGGAGTGCCCAGCGGTGCCTCAACGGGCATCCACGAAGCGTTGGAACTTCGAGATGACATCAAAGGCGATTACATGGGCAAGGGAGTCCTGAAAGCCGTGGCAAATGTGAACAAAATTATTGCGCCGGCCCTGCTTCAGAAGGCTTTTAAACCCAGCCAACAACAGGAAATTGATGAATTCATGGTCAAAGAGCTCGATGGCACAGAAAACAAGAGCAAATTGGGCGCAAATGCAATTCTAGGTGTCTCAATTGCGGTCGCCAAGGCTGGAGCCGCCGAAAAGGGTGTTCCTTTGTATCGCCACTTCGCTGACTTGGCAGGAAATAAGGATATTATTCTGCCCGTTCCAGCCTTCAATGTCCTCAACGGGGGAAGTCACGCAGGCAACAAACTCGCCATGCAGGAATTCATGATACTCCCTGTCGGGGCCAGCAGCTTTACCCAGGCTATGAAAATGGGATCAGAGACCTATCACAACCTTCGCACCGTCATAAAGAAGAAGTATGGTCTTGATGCCTGTAACGTCGGAGACGAAGGTGGGTTCGCGCCGAACATCCAGGACAACTTTGAGGGCCTAGAGTTACTGAAGGAAGCTATTGAGATGGCCGGCTACACTGGAAAGGTGAAAATTGGTATGGACGTGGCGGCTTCGGAGTTCTTTAAGGATGGACTCTATGACCTCGATTTCAAAAATCCCAACTCACCCAAAGATAAATGGATACAATCTGACAAGTTAGCAGGCATCTATGATGAGATGATCTCCAAATACCCTATAGTCAGCATTGAGGATCCCTTCGATCAGGATGACTGGGACTCCTGGACAAAGTACACTTCAAAGACCCAGATCCAGATTGTTGGCGATGACCTCACTGTCACAAATCCGAAGCGCGTGCAACAGGCGATTGATTGCAAGGCTTGCAATTGTCTCCTACTGAAAATAAACCAGATAGGTTCGATCTCCGAAGCAATTGAGGCTTGTAATATGGCCAGGAAGGCCGGCTGGGGTGTTAT